AATCAGATATAGGTTATACATATGCAATCATACAAAACATTTCCATATTAGTCATTTTGTACAAGAAAACTAGAAGAAAAGAAAAAGAATGAAAGAAAGAAAGTGAAAAATAGCATGCTTCAGTCTGTATTCAAACAATACCACTTCTTTCTCTGGAGGCAGATAATATGCTTTATCATTAGTCCTTTGGGATTATCTTGGATCCTTGTATTACTGAGAATAGATAAATCATTCACAGTTCTTTACTGATAGTATTGCTGTTACTGTGTATAATGTTCTCCTGGTTCTGTTCATTTCACTTTGCAAGTCTTTCCAGGTTTTTCTGAAATCATCCTGCTTATCATTCATATAACACAATAATATTTCATTACAATCATATACCACAGCTTGTTTAGCCATTCCTCGACTGATGGGCATTCCTTCAATTTCCAGTTCTTAGTCACCACAAAAAGAGCCACTATAAATATTTTTGTACAAATGAGTCCTTTGCCTTTTTTTTTTAAATGTCTTTGGGATACAGACCTAGCGGTGGTATTGCTGGATCAAAGGGTATACACAATTTTATAGACCTTTGGACATAATTCCAAATTGCTCTTCAGAATGGTTGGATAAATTGAAATGAAACATTTATGAGAGACACTTGCTATAAACATTTTCCCTAGGTTTCTGCTTTCCTTCCAATTTTGATTGCATTGGTTTTGTTTTTGCAAAAACTTTTAATTTTATATAATCAAAATTATCCATTTTACATCTTGTAGTCCTCTCTATCTCTTGTTTGATTATAAATTCTTTCCTTATCCAGAGATCTCACAGGTAAATTATTCTATGCACACCTAATTGTTTATGGTTTCACCCTTTATGTCTAAATCATGTACATATTTTGACCTTGTCTTAGAATACAGTGTAGAATGTTGTTCTATACCTAGTTCCAGCCATACTGTTTTTTCTAGCTGAATAAAATAATTTTTGGGGTAATTTAAATGGGGTGGCATGGAATAAGTATGTAAGTTTAGATAGAATTAATATTTTCACTGTATTGGCTCTGCCCATGCATGAACAATTAATATCTCCCCAATTATTTTAATCTGACTTCATGCATACAAAAATGTTTTATAATTATGTTCATTTAGTTTCTGAGTTTGTCTCAGCAGGTATACTTCCAGGTATTTTATTTTGTCTACAATTATTTTAAATAGGGTATCTTTTACTATTTCTTCTTGTAAGGTTTTATTGGTAATATATAAAAATGTTGATTTTGTGGATTTACTTTATATCTGGCTACTTTGCTAAAATTATTGATTGTTTCACCCAGCTTTTTAGTTTAATCTGTAGGATTTTTCAACTATACCATCATATTGTCTTTAAAAAGACATAGTTTTATTACTTCATTTCCCATTCTGTTTCCTTCAATTTCTTTTTCTTCTCTTATTGCTATTGCTGGCATTTCTAATACAATATTGAATGATGGTGATAATGAGCATCCTTTTTTTCAGTCCTGATCTTATTGGGAAATCTAGCTTATCCTTGTTACAAATAATGATTACAAATGGTTTTTGGTAGCAAATTCTTACCATTTTAAGGAAAAATCCATTTATACTTATGCTTTCAAGTATTTTTAATAAGAATGACTTGTATTTTGTCAAAAGCTTTTTGTCTGCATGTATTGATATAATCATATGATTTTGCTACTTTTGTTATTGACATAATCAATTATGTTAATAGTTTTCCTTATGTTAAACAACCCCTGAATTCCTGGTGTAAATCTCAATTGTTCAGAATGTATAATCTTTGTGATATATTATTGTAGTCTTCTAGCTAGCATTTTATTTAAGTTTTTGCATCCAAATTCATTAGTGAAATTGGTCTATAATTTTTTTCCTGTGTTTTTGCTCTTCCTGGTTTAGATACCAGCACCATATTTGTTTCATAAAAGGAGTTTGGTAAGACTCCTTCTTCACCTATTATTCCAAACAATTTATTTAGTATTAGAATTAGCTGATCTTTAAATGTTTGGTAGAATTCACTTGTAAATCTATCTGATCCTGATGTTTTTTCTTAGGAAGTTCCTTTATGGCCTGTTCAATTTCTTTTTTCTAAAATATGTATATTTTGGTATTTTATTTCCTCTTTTGTTAATCTAGGCAATTTATATTTTTGTAAGTTTTCTGCCATTTCACTTAAGTTATTGAATTTATTGGCATATAAAATTGTGCAAAATAACTCCTATTAATTGCTTTTATTTCATCTTCATTAGAGGTATATTCACCCGTTTCATTTTTGATGCTAGTGATTTGGTTTTCTTCTCTTTTAAAAAAAGTCATATTAACCAATGTTTTATCTATTTTATTTTTATTTTAAATAAAGCCACATCTTGTTTTTTTTTTAATTCAATGGTTTTCTTATATTCAATTTTATAAATCTCACCTTTAATTTTATATTTCCAAGTTGTTCTTTTTCTAGCTTTTTTGAATTGCATACCCAATTCATTGGCCTCTTCTTTCTTATTTTATTGATATAAGCGCTTAGAGATATAAATTTTTCTCTACTGCTTTTGCTGCATCCCATAGGTTTTGGTATATTGTCTCATTATTGTCATTCTCTTTAATAAAATCATTTATTGTTTCTATGACTTGTTCTTTAACTCACTAATTCTTTAAGATTCTCAAATTAAATTTTAATCTGTTTGCATTATCCTTTATTAATTTTTACTGCATTGTAATCTGAAAAAGGATGCATTTAATATTTCTGTATTTAACTATAAAGATTTCAGGTACCATATACTGCTAAGAAAAAGGTATATTCTTTTCTATTTCATTCAGTTCTCTCCAGATATCTATCATAAGATTTGATTCAGCTCCTTGACTTCTTATTTATTTTTTGGTTAGATTTATCTAGTTCTGAGATAGGAAGATTAAAGTCTCCCACTATTTTGTTATCTATTTCCACCTGTAATTCATTTAACTTTTCCTTTAAAAATTTGGATGCTATAGCACTTGGTGCATAAAGTTTGGTATTGTATTACTTCATTATCTATGGTACCTTTTATCACAATGTAGTTTCCATGTTTATCTCTTTTAATTAAATCAATTTTAGCTTTAACTTTGTCTGAGATCATGATTGACTGTATCTAACTCCAAATCCTGCTTCATGCTTCTGTTATAAAAACTCTATTATAAAATGGGCAGAGGCCTCATCTTCTCTTTGACAAGTTATTCTAAATCTGCTCCAATTAAGATCCATACTTGAATTGGGGAATCTAATATAGTTTACAGCCAAATTTCTGATTTCAAAATAAATACCAATTTTAAATTTTCTTTCTCAACTGATTTTTACTTAATTTTAATTTGTAAAACTCCCAAGTATCTAATTATGTGCACAAGCATTTCTCATTTTGTGAAGCAGGAAAAAGTTTAAAAAGGCAGTTCTTAAGCACCAGATAAATTTAAACTGCAAATCTGTTTTTTTTTCACTTTGGTATTTCACTGATACTATTTTCAAACTAGTTTTGGTTCCCTTTTCTCTTATCAGTAAAATTGCTTTCTACCTTGCACTAAATCAGCAAATCTCTCACTTTCTGGGAATAGAGTGATAAAAGATCTAAGTGTTGTTTCCATGTAACATCCAGAGTTTTATTCTTAAGTTTAGTGTTATCCCAAAACTCACTAAAACATTTCAGCATTTATAAAAACATACAAACTGCATTTTGAAAATTCACATTAGAGAAATTACATTTCAGGCACAAATTGTCTTTAATTAGTTTATGATGCCATAAATTTCTGCAGACTAGTGGACAAAGATTCCCTCTTATCTGTGTCTCTAGTCTGCCTTCCGACCTCGCCAGAGTTGAAAGGTGGAGAAAGACTTTTTTCTCAAGAAAAAGTTTTTATTCTTCCTCCTTTGGCTAATAAGGCCCCAGGAAAAAGCCAGTTTGACTTAGAAACATAAGTAAAATGACAAGACAGACACAGAAAATCATTTACTGGCAAAGTCTTCCTCCTCATTCCTCACTAGAGATTTATGAGGGTTAAGTCCCTGCTAGCTGGAAGAGTTGTTTTTAAAACTCCACCCTTCCAGTCTCTCTGCTAAAGCACATGCTTGAAAAATCACACAGAACCACATTTTTAAAAGTTCCTAATTCATGTAATAAAAATTAGCGTGCACAGTTTAAAAATGAAAGTCCCTTTGCTGGATCAAATTTGGAACCTATCGATTTCTTAGACTAATTTTGTAAATATTAGTGAACTCTTTCTTTTGTTACACCTTCACCTTCCTGGAATGGAAGCAGAACTTCCCTGAGGGGTATCTGCTGGCTTAGCTAGTTCCTTCATCTGATCTGGTCCCTTCATCAGAGCTAGAACCACCTACCAGTCCCACCCATATCCCTTAAGGAAAATTTGCTTACAGGACTCCAGGCCCCTAATAAGGGGCTTACCTTGGCTCTCTGCATCCCAGTTTGTACTTAGAATTTCTTTAGAGGAAGTTCCTTCACAAAATAAAAGGACTGGTCTTCCCCAACCCCTTTGAATGGGAAGTATCTTTGTTTCCAGACTTATTAAGGACTTCTGCAAGAGGATACCATCAATGCATGCCTTCAGAACACTCCTTAGCTTGAGCTGAGAGTCTTCCTTGGAAGAAAAAAATGTGTCCCTTAGGGTGACTTTCTGGGTTTTCAGCTGCCAATTATTGCCAACAATTGCTCTAATCACCAACAGTACCTTACATTAAAATTAAACAACCAAAGTTGCAACTTCCCCAACCTCGGATCAGAAAAGGTGGGATCAAAGGATGAGTCAGGTCTCTGGTGTAATTCTCAGTGGACAAATCCCACCAGTGAAAATATCACCAGAGAAAATTTCTCCTAAGAGGTTGCCCTGAGGAACAGCCTCCCTTTCAATATTCCTTCACGGCTGCCAATTTTCATGATTGAAATTGAAGTAAAACTGACATACAAAGTTCCAAGCACATTCAATAATTTGTTGACATTATTTTGTGTTTTACAGATTCTTTTTATGGGTATGATGACTGAATATTATCACTACTTTTTCACAACACTGGTAAGAATGTCTCAGGAAAATTAAGTATTTCATAATATAAGAGAAAGATCTGGAGGGTAACTTCTGTGTAAATTTAGTGTCACCCTATTATTAAGGGCAGGGAACTGAAAAAGAATACTTGCTTTTATTTCTTTCAGATCTTCTAAATTCTGTAGTGATGAACAATATTTGTTAAAACTAATATTGTGTATGACTTGGAAAGGGATTAAAATGAAAATTATATTAAAGGAAACTGTGAAAGTATAAGCATTGTAAACTTGAACATGAACCAATATGTCTTTGCATTGCTCTAATGCTGTTTTATAGCTTGTAGTCAGTTGATAATGGAGTAGCCATAGGTTAATTAGAAGCTCCTCAGACTGGATGATACTTTGTCCTTCAAAAATTTTGCCTCATTAGGAAAAATATAGTTAATATATAATTAAATGCATATTATATGTGTGTTAATACACACATACACGTGTGTGTGTATATATATATATATATATATATATATATATATATATATATGTGCCTCCCGTAACATATAAGCTAAATTTTGTAAGCAGCATGATTTTAGACATTCAATTTAATAGAAATTAAGTTGCCATTATATTCTTGATAGTTCATTTAATCAATCCTCCCCCTTCATAAAGCAAAGAATGTTCTCCCAATAAGGCATATGACTATAACTAATGCAGATTTGAAAATGCACACCTGTTTCAGAATAGACTATAGTTTTGTTTTTGTTTTTTAAAATATTTTAAAAGTTGCTTTCATGTGTATATTAAGACAATTATCTCTGTATTCATTTTTCTACCTACTTAGGAATGAAATGAGACATAGTGAAGAGAGGACAGGTATTTAAGTCCAGACCATCTGGATTCAAGTCTTCCTTCTGACATATACTAGCTGTGTGACCATGACCAAATTATGTAATTTCTCACTGCCAGGACTGATACTAATCTACGTTATAAGAGAGAGTTCTCACACTAGTAGTTCTCAATAAAGATAAAATCAGTCCTAGATCAAGATAATAATAATGATGATGATATTGACATGGTTCTTCCTGATATTAACTCCATTATCACTACATAAAACTTTCCAGTTAAAGAGTTAGACCAAAGCATCTTATTAATCATTTAATATACATAGATAGCATCAAAGTATATGGTTACACATAAAAGGACATTACAAGTATTTCATCTCATGGAAATTTTCTCCAGTAATATCAACATGTAATCTGGACTTGATAGAATTAATGTGCACCATGAAAAACAGATACTGAAATCTTGGAGCTTAAATCCAGAGGTCAAATTGAGCTAATGGTTGAAAGCAATACAAATAACTTGGCACATCAAGAATAAAGCTATTAGGGGGAAAACTGAGTTTAGAGATCAAGTAGAATCCTGAAGTCAAAGTTTAGTGGAAACATTTAGAGCAATTAACATTTAAGCAATGCCAGACTTAACATGTACTTTTGGCATGGTAAAATTAATTACAAAAAATATAGAAGGTATCCAAATAAAATCATCACTTCAAAGGAGCTACAGAATAATTAGCATTTCCCAAAGTGTCAGCACACACAACAAGCAGGCTTAAAGTTTATGCAGATAATTTTGGAAAGAGCATAGCTCACTTCATAAAGCAAAAGTAAAGGCTAACACAAGTATACAACACTGGACTTTTCAAATTGAACAGAAAATGTCCTATTTCTGCATGTGGTCTATGCAAACATGTTATACAACAGCTAAAAACACACAGTGGGTGACTTCAACAGTATGCTAACAAGAAAGTCAAACAAATGACAAGTCAATAAGATTTGTTTATAGAAACAGAGAGATTTATAACTTTTTTAAAATGTGAAACTGCATCACTTCTTAAGGAATTTCTATGAAAGGAATTAGCTGTCTCAGAGTCAGGACTCAAGAAGGTAGAGCAAAGCCTACTATTTTTAATACACCTTTGAGGAGCTGTGGCAGAGAAAGGAGATATGAAGAAGTCACTGGACCTACAAGCTCATTGTCAACAGACATTTAATTGATGAAGATTATACAATTAAGCAATAGGTTATATGCCTGCAAATTTTAGTTTGAAAAAATTAAGGATCTATCAGATACTCACAAGGACACAATCAAGTGACTAGAATTTTACATCAGAAATCTGATACCCATTACAAACTAATAGATGCCAAACCACCACAAAACAACACAAATCCATAATATCATTGAGAACACAATATTTATATTGTGTTAATTGATTATCAGAAAGTTTTTTACTTAGTTCTGCCCTCATGGACTGGCCCCTTACTGTAAATATGTAAAATACAACCAATAGAGTGAAGATGCTACAGTATTTGAAGTCCACCTGGAATTAATCATATAATTCTATGATTCTGCTTCTTCTCAAACCCATTTTTTTATCTCCTAAATCAAACTGAATATAGTTTCCAAGTTAAAGATCACACCAAAATATTATTAAGCACATTTAGATGTGATTCATATGGCTTTACAAAAAGTCTACATTAAATTATTCCATCTTTCTCTACTGATTTTAAAACATCATTGATACTTGACAAATATTAAGGCAGATTGAAGACTTCGAGCTTAAATTCAGAAGTCAAATTGAATCAATGAGTGAAAGTAATACTGAACGGTAAATTGGACAACAGTGAATTTGTAAAGTATCTTAACCAAAACTCTACAATATTAGTGCAATTCAGGATTTATCACCCCAAGACAATAATAAAAAATAATGATAATAGTGATAGTTAGCATTTATATAGCTCTTTAAAGTTTGCAAAGCACTTTGCATTTGTTAACTGATTTAATCTTCACAACAATCTCATGAGGTAGGTATTGTTAGTATCCTCATTTTCCAGATGATAATGATAAAGGTTAAGTGATTTGCTCATTGGAAGTGTCTGGGGTATGATATTAATTGACTTAATTTTGACTGCATGTCCTATGCTCTATTCATCACGTGACTGGCACAGTGACAAAAACTGAGGTAGGTTGGCATATGTTCTCAATGCATGATAAGCAGGTTAAAAACTGAAAGAAATGCTTTTGGAACAAGCAGATATCATTTCACCAAGCAGGTTAAGTCAGATACAACTGAGAATATTATACCTCCAGATAGAGCCTATAAAAGAGCTGGGATCCAGAGTTAAAAGACCTTCTATAGGTAACATCTGCATGAACTCAACCAACAATACGACATCCAAAAAACATTAAATGCATGACAGAGTGATGCATAATTGTTTGTAGAAACTACGCAGTACTCAAATCATTGTCACCAGAAATTATAGGAAGGTTTCACCTTAAGGAGGTTGGACTTATTGAGTGATGAAGATTATACAGTGCAATCTGCAACACATCACTGCTCCTTATAAATCTTTAGCAGCTACCAAATATCTAGAATCAAGTAGAAAGAACTATATACCACAAATGCATTATCCTTTATAAATTAATACCATTGAAACCTAGTGGAAGAAATTGAAACTATGTAAGAACAGGATGAGGTACATGTCACTATGTCACTTGAGTTTTTTTTAAAGGCCTTCTCTGAACCTCCAGAAGACTATATCCCAATAGTTTTTTTTTTCAAATTATGTGAAGAAGTAATTTTAGTCTGTGTAGATGTTCAAAGAATATTAAAAATAAAATAATAATAATAGGATAGCAATTTTTCCCTGGACCATTTATCTGAACATCATGAAAATAGATAAGAACAAGATACAGCAACAACAATGACAAATAACAACAATAACAAAACTTGGGCATTTGATTATTTAGGGATCTTTAGATGCTAAGTAGAAGACATCACAGTTATTATATTTTTAAAGGCCACATAACTATTTATGGGATCTCAATAGTGCAAAAATCCTTATTTATGGCTATAAAAGTTATGAGGAGCTCAATTTTACTAAATTATACTAATGAGCATGATTAGTGAATATGGAAGTACATATTATTTGGAACAAAGATTATAAGCTAAACATGAATGAGTAGTATGATATGACAGTCACTTAGACTCTTCGTGACCCTATTTGGGGTTTTCTTGGCAAATGTACTGGAGTGGTTTGCCATTTCCTTCTCCAGCTCATTTTACAGATGAAGAATCTGAAACAAACAGGGTTAAGTGACTTGCCCAGGGTAATACATCTAGAACATGTCTGAGGCCAGATATGAAGTCATGAGGATGAGTCTTTTTGACTCCAGGCTTGGAGCTCTATGTGATGAGCAGCTGAAGGGGAGTAGGAGGTAGAGATTGGATTTGAAGTTAGAGGACTTAAATTCAACTCTCAGTCCTGCTTTTTAAGAGTTGTATAAACATTTTAAGAGTTGTATAAACATAACTATTCATCCAAGACATTTAGTTTCCTCATCTGAAAAATGTGATTGGGCTAGATGATCTCTAAACTTGCTTCAAAAACTAGCAACCAATGATCTTAAAAAGTTATATATAATGTGTATATATATACATACATATATATATATGTACATATAGTACCCTGTAACAAATTATATATAAATATAAGCTATTATAATTGTCATAAATAAAATTAACACTATAAAATTACTCAATTTACAAAAAACCTACAGTTTATACTAACCTATTATTTTCATAAAGTGAAGTATATGTAGAATATGTTTTCTCTTCAAGCTGCTTCAGAGGAAAGTAAAGCTATTGTGATAGTGTGTATGCTTATATAACCATATGCTTTTATTCTCTGCAAAAACCTTCATCCTGGGCATACAGGCAAAGGTTCTTTTTCATAAATTAATTTTATGTTATAGTTACAACATCCACACTTTCATGTGTTCTGATGATCAGTTATGGACTATCTATTTTTCAATCATTTACATGCTTAGTACATCCTACAGTTTTCTTAACAAAGCAACATGTTGTACAAGGAGGACTGCATTCTAAGTCTGGAGACTTGGGTTCTAGTTTTTTCTATGCTACTATCTCCAGTTGAATGACCTTGGAAAAATTACTTTATATTTCTGGCTTCTGTGTACTTCTCTCTAAAATGAGGAAGTTGGAATAGATGATCTCCATGGACATTCCAAGGCAGCTAGGTGGTACAGTATAAAGAGCACTGGGCTGAAACAACATAACATAATAACAACAAGATTGGCACTCTATTCTAATATTCTATGAATGGAGTCTAAAAGCAATAAATTTTATAAAGTTGTACTGACTTATATTATAAAATTATAATACAAAATTATGTTACAAAAATGTTGGAATTTATTTTCTGCAGTCTGCAGAGCATATTGGATATTGATAAATTCCCCATGTTTGTCTGTCATAATTGTAACAGTATCAGAAAAAAAATCAAAACTGCCTATTTCTTTGGAGTTTGTCAAAGCATAATGAGAATGAGGATAGGAAATTTACCTTTACCAAAAAAAAAATCAAATAGATAAAAAAAAATCATTACTATTTAATTAGAATCTCCTCATTGCATGTGCTAAGTCATCTGTTCTGTCAACAGGATTTCTTTGCACTAGACCTGGAAATCTACAGATACAGTGGAGTAAATATGACTGGATTTCGGCTACTTAATATCGATAATCCTCGAGTTTCATCCATTATTGAAAAATGGTCAATGGAAAGACTGCAAGCTCTACCCAAGTCAGAGATGGGTCTACTTAATGGCATAATGACAGTAAGTACCATTGTTGACTTTTAAAGATTCTTCGAAGACCATTTTTCAAAAAGAGATTTATTCAGAGGTTTTCTTTTTTGTAAAAGGGGATGATTCACAAATTCCCTATTATTTCTTAAAACATCTGGGAGAAAGAATTTTCCCACATTTGTTATAAAATAAAAAAGGTAATCTAGTACCTTTTAAAGTTTTAAGGATCATTATTTGTATCAAGCTAAAATTTCTCTGTTTAACTTTCTGTTGCTACTACAAGAGTGAGAGTGTGTTGCTCAAGTGAAGATGAAGTAAGAATCAAAGCAAAGACACATTTAAAAGAAAGTTAAAAAGAACAATCTTCAGATAACAGCTATTAATAGAGTTTCCCTTCCTTTGCTTTGTAATTAATAACATGGAACATGTAGGGATACTAATGAATCTTTGTATCTATAGACACAGTCATTTATAGATTAGATAGTCTTTTTACAAATTATTTTCATACCTATAAGAATAAAAAAACTTCACAAAAAGACTGATTTAAATAATGGGAGAAATGCTGCATACCATAGGTTGTGATATGTTGTCTCATTATTGTTATTCTCTTTGATAAAATTATTGATTGTTTCTACAATTTTTTCTTTAACCTACTCATTCTTTAAGATCAGGTTGGTTAGACTAATTTTTTTTTTACAGATGGAAACAAGTTTATATGGTCCTTATTCAATATAATTTTGGCACACTGTAGTCTAAAAAGTATGCATTTAATATTTCCTTTTTATGTATTTAACTATAGAATTTTTATGGCCTAATATATGTTCTATTTTTGTAAAGGTACCACATTCATCTGAGAAAAAGATATATTCCTTTCTATTCCCATTCATTTCTCTCCAGATAGCTATCATATCTAGCTTATTTAAGATTCTATTTATCTCTTTGGTTTCTTTCTTATTTGTTTTTTAGTTAGATTTATCTATTTCTGAGAGGGGAAGGTTAAAGTTATACTTTATATAAAGGTTATACTCTAATAGTATTACTTTATCTTTCCACCTGTACTTAATTTAATTTTTCCTTTAAAAATTTAGATACATTTAGGTTTAGTATTGATATTGCTTCATTTTCTATGGTACCTTTTTATCATAATGTCATTTCCCTGTTTATCTCTTTTAATTAAATGTATTTTGGCATTAACTTTCAGATCATGATTGCTACTCCTGATCTTTTTTTAATCTAAGCTGACGCATAATAAATTCCATTCCAGCCCTTAAGTTTAACTCTGTGTATAGCTTTCATTTTTAAATGTGTTTCTTGTAAGCAACATATTGTCAGATTCTGTTTTTTAATCCATTATGTTATCCATTACCATTTTATGGGTAAGTTCATCCCATTCACATTCAAAGTTATAATTACTAGTTGTGTATTTTCCCCCAACCTATTTTTCCTCTCTGTTATCCTTCTCATCTTCTCTTTTTACCCTGTTCCTCCTCACAGTCTGTTTTACTTCTAACCATTACCTCCCTAATTTGCACCTTTGAAAAGAAGCCCTTCCTTATCCTCTTCCCTTACCCTCCTATTCCTTAATCTACTCACCCCTCTAAGAATCTCTCCCTTATCTTCTCCCGCACCCTCCTACTTCTTGATCTACATCCCTTCTAAAAGATCCTCACTTATCCTATCCCCTTGCCCTCCAAATTTAGAAGACCTTTTAAACCCTTCTAGATGTATATGTTATTCCCTCTTTAACCCAGTTCTAATGAAAATAAGGTTCCAGCACTACCAGCCTTCCACCTTCACCTGCTTCCCTTGTAACAATTCTTCCATTTACACCTCATTTATATGAGATAATTGCTTCATTTTACTTCTCTCTATCCAATGTTATTTTTAAAGAATTATCCCATCATACTCAGCTCAACCCCAAGCCTTCTATCTGTGTATGCTCTTTCAAACTACCTAAATGATACCATTTTAAAGAGTACAGGTAACATTTTTTAATACAAGTAAACAGTTTGACCTTATTGAGTTATTTATAATTGGTCTTTAATGCTTACATTATGTTTCTCCTAGATCTTACGTCAAATTTTCCATTGAGTTCTGGTCTTTTTGTCACAAATACCTGAAAGTCTTTCAATTCATTAAATGTCTATTTTTTTTTAACTCATAATTATACTCAGCTCTGCTGAGTAAGTTATTCTTGGTTGCAAACCCAGCTCCTTTGCTCTTTGGAGTATAACGTTCCAAACTTTTTGGTGTTTTAATATAGAAGCTGCTAGATCTTGTGTTATTCTGACTGTAGCTCCACAATATTTAAATTGCTTTTTGTTTCTTGTTGCTTGTAGTATTTTTCCTTATCCTGGGAGTTTCAAAGCTTGGCTATGATGTTCCTATGAGTTTTTCATCTTGGTATCTCTTTCAGGTGGTGATTTATGAATTTTTTCTGTTTTCATTTTACCCTCTCACTCTGGAACTTTGGGGCAATTTTCCTTAATGATTGCTTGCAATATCATATCTAGATTCTTTTTTTTTTTAAATAACTTTCAGGCAGTCCAACAATTCTTATATTGTTGCTTCTCAATCTGTTCTCCAGGTCAGTTGCTTTTCTAATGAGTTGTTTCACATCCTCTTCTTTTTTTTCATTCTTTTGATTTTGTTTTATTATTTGTTGGTGTTTTATAACATCATTAGCTTCCCCTTGCCCATTTCTAGTTTTTAAGGGGTTATTTTCTTCCTTAAATTTTTGGATCTTTTTCTAATTGGTTGACTTTCTTTTCATAATTTTCTTGATTTTCTTGGGTTGCTCTTATTTTTTTCCCTATTTTTTCCCTCAGCTTTCAAAAATTGATTTTAAAAGTCCTTTTTAAGCTCTTACAAGAACTGTTTTTTGGGCTTGTGACCATTTGACATTTTTCTTAGGAGCATCTTTTTTAACTTCACTATCTTCTTCTGGGCATGAATCCAGATCTTCTCTATCCCCATATTAGCTATCTATGGTCAGGGTTCTTTCTCTTTTGCTTACTCATTAATTTTTTAGCAACTTATTATTATTGTTAGATTCTAGTTCTGAGGTGTGGGAGATGATGAATCAGGCTGAGCTACAGGTAAGGGCCCCAGCCATTCTGTCACTGCAAATGCTCTTGCTCCCTGAGGTCTCTACCTTGGCTGCAAACTTCAGTTCTCTACTGTGCCCTGGAACCAAAACCAGAGACTCTGTTCTCCTGTAAGTCCCCACAGTCAGCAGGGTCTCCACCGCTCTGCTACTACACTCACTGGGTAGGAGATTGCTTCTCCTTGCCTACAGCTGCAGCTTGGTACTGTGTCTGATCAGCACACCTGGGCCTAGTGTCTGGCAACAGAAGAAGGTTTTTCAATCTTTAATCTTTCAATCTTTGTACTTCAGTTGGGCCAAACCTTCACCCCTGGAGGTTGGGTCTTTCCTGAGGTCCTCCCAAGTTGTCTTAGGAGGACAACTGCTTTAACCCAATTTTTAGTTATTTCTGCAGCTAAAAGTTCATTTTGAGGCAATATTTTATCTTGTTTGTCATATTCTGCCATCTTCCCAGAATGCTTCCTTCTAAAGTCTTTCATTGATACTTATATGGTCTTGATCCTAAATCAGTAAGAAAGAAAACTTTAAACTAACATCTTTAATGAACTTTGATTACAATAACTTAAATAAAATCTTATCAAATAGACCATGACATATTTTTAAAATTATGTAGTATAACTTAGATTTATACTCTAAACAAACAAAATAGGTCACATTAAAAAATTAAAGATAATTTTAAATCCTACATGTTGAGATCAATAGATGCAAAAAAGGGTTTTGTATAAAATCCAATATTTATCTATGTTAATAAAAATTAGAAAACACAGGTAAGTAGAATTTGTCTAAAACCAAGAGCAAACATTTTATGTAATAAAGGAAGGTTAGAGACCTTTCCAAACAGATCAGTGCTAAATCATGGATGTCCGTAGTCACCACCACTTAACATGGAACTAGAAATGGCACCTATAGGAATAAAACAAGAAACAGGAATAAACATAAGCCAAGAGGAAACTAAACTACTGTACTGACTTTAAGCAGATGATATTATGTTGTATTTAGAGAACTCTTAAAGAGTCAATTCATAATAAACCCAAACAAAAACTTCAGCAAAATTGCAGAATATAAAATTAATTCACATTTAAAGCTTTTCTTTGCCCATTCCAGATAAGAGTAATATTCATAAAATGTATAATGATCCATTTTTTCATAGCTTTCTTCTGGTGCATACCAAATATAAGGGATTAGTAAATATCAGCATTTCTATCCATTACCAACAAAACTCAGCAAGAAGAGATGGAGAAAATCCATTCAAAATAATTTGATAATACCAAGACATCCCTGAGAACTAAATGAATGCAATTTCAAATCATTGGGTAGACAGATCTAAATAATTGCAATATTACCTAAATTATATTACTTATTGAATGCCATATTAATAAAACTAACAAAGTATGATTACATAGAGTTAGAAAAATAAAAATGTAATTTATCGGGCTGATTAAAAGATCAGGAACGTCAAGAGAACTAATGAAAAAACAAGGGGAAAATAAAGAAGCCTAGCAGTTCCAGATCTCAAACTGTATTACAAAGTAGTAATCAACAAAACTATTTGGCACCAATTAAAAAATAGAGGAGTCAGAAAGTAGCAGATTATATACATGACATTAAAAAGGACATGGTATCCTCTAATGTTCAATAAAACCAAATATTCTACTATTCAACAAATTTTTTTTGGAAAACTGGAAATTAGTCTGATAAACTTTAGGCATACACCAACATTTCCAGCCATCTAAGTTAAATATATAATTTATACTTAGAAAATGATACCATAAGCAACTTAGAAGGGCAAGGAATAAATCACCTTTCAAATCTACAGGCTATGGGTTCATGACCAAAGAGAGTCAGGGATGATCACAGAAGATAAAATTAACAATTTTTGTAAAATGCAAAAGTTTTTGCAAAAACAAAACCAGTGAACTTAGAATTAGAAGGAAAACAAGTAAGCGGGAAAAAAATCTTTGCAGCAAGTTTTTCTGATAAAGGCTTCATGTCTAAGATATGTAAAGCACTGATTCAAATTTATAAGAATGATATCCATTTCTCAATAGATAGTCAAGGGATATGAACAGGAAGTTTTCAAGGGAAGAAATCCAATCTATTGGTAAACTGATAAAAAAATTATCAAAATCACAAGTTATTAGAAAAAAGACAAATCAACTCTGAAATTCTACCTCAAACCTGTAATTTACAAAAATAACAAAAAAAGAAAATGACAATTTTTAGAGGGACTGAGGGGAAACAGCTGTGAATTGGTCTAGACATTATAGAAAGCAATTTTGAATTGTCTTAAAAAGTCACTCAATTGCACATACTCTTTTGCCCAGCTATATACTGCTACTAGGCCAATACTGGAAAGACATCAAAGACAGAGAAAAAAACGACTACCATGTGAAAAAAAGTACTATACTACTATGTACTCATATCCACATCCAGAGAAAGAACTGATGGAGTCTGAATGCAAAGTGAAGCATACTATTTACACTTTATTTTTGTCATGGTTTTTTTTTCTCATTTTGTTCTGTTTCTTCTTTCACAACATGGCCAATATGGAAATATGTTTTACATGATTGCATATATGTGATCTATATAAAATTGCTCAAAATCTTAGGGAATGGAAAGAGAAGAGAGAAAATTAAGAATTCAGAATTTCATTTAAAAAAAAGATTGTTAAAAAATTTGTCATTGCATTCAAAAGGCCCTAATGTTGGGAAGGATTGAAGCCAAAAGGAAAAAGAGGACAGAGGATGAGGTGGATAGATAATGTGTGTGTGTGTGTGTGTGTGTGTGTGTGTGTAATTTCATTTATCCAAGACTCTGGTAGTGATGCTGCTTGAACTGATTGCACATGGTATGGACAGAAGCTATGTTCTTGATACTCCCCTTGAATAGAGATCCCAAGGAGATAATCCTGCACCTCCTTTATCTCAATGAGCTTCTTTTTTATAAATTTTGAATAATATTTTATTTTTTCCAATTACATGCAAAGACAATTTTAACATTCATTTTAAAATAGTTGCTTCAAGTGATTGACATGTCTTTTAAGTGATCTGCAAATACTTTTAAGATTATGCAGATCCCTTAAACTGGAATTCAATATTCAAACTTTTTTTTTTGCTATGTGGAAAGTCAAAAATTAAGTTCTCTGTAGTTATAGGCTGTTTCATATTTGTCCTTATAACACCAATGCCTAGCAGTGTCTAGTTTATACTTTGGTACATAATAAATTATTGCTGATCGATTACTCTTCCCCTGTTATCTATCTTGATTTTGAAATAACTAACTATCAAAATATATTGTGAGAGGATCATCTTTATCCTCTACAATAGATGCTGGTACAAAAGCTGCAACAATATGCTTTTTGCTTAAGCTATTTATTAGCACTATAAAATGAAGTAATCAAGTTTCCCATGAATAATGTTTCTTATTACCTTTGAGCCAACTATTACAGCAAATCAGCTACTTATTTGTCTCTAGAGAGAAACTGCAAGTCTTCCTTCCATTTAATGACAACATCTTTTATCATGAGAATATCAATATTGATATAGTCCAGTTTGTCAGGTAGTAGAACAATTGACCAGTCAAAGCATAGAGGTTTCATATTTAGGAATACTTATAATTTTAATAGATGACCTAGCCCACGTGATTCTTTGTGCTCTTGTACTGTTTTCTGACATCACAAAGGACACAGAAAATCACAGATTTGAAGGCTATGCTTTCATTTTTCTTTGTTTCATGGGTTTCCATAGTCAAGGAACTCATTACCTATTGGCCAACCTACTGACAATGATATTTTACATACTGTATTTTCCTAGGCTAGTCCTCAAATAGCAGACTTGTTCAGTACGTGATAGCTTTCTGTAACTTGCCAGAACTTCTGCTCTTTTAGAATAGCCTTTAGGAACCCATTGTCCCCCCTACCACTGTGTTGTGATATCAGAGTAAGATTATGGAATGAGTCAGTCAACAAGCATACTTACTGAAGTACTGGATTGTGGACTGTGATTGGAGATTAAAAAAACAATTAAAAACAGTCATTCCTCTCAAAAAAAAACACTAGGAGAAATAAGTATTACAAGAACAAAGTTATAAAAGCCTTCAAAAAGCAAAAGAGTGAAGAAATAAAGAGAGCAAAGATAAGTAAATATGGAAATGAAAGCATGTGTTTTCTCCCTGCAGACTGAAGCAGCTTTGATGTATGATGCTGTGTACGCCGTGGCTATTGCCTCTCACCAAGCTTCTCAGATGACAATCAGCTCCCTGCAGTGTCACCGACATAAACCATGGCGCTTTGGACACAGATTTATTAATTTGATCAAAGAGGTAATTCTTGCTGCCTTATACCTTTATTCAGCCCTTCACTTTGTACTGCATAAATTCAATGACTCTATTCCTTTGTCAATCTATACGTTGTCTATAAAGGCAAACCCTTAAATGACAGAAATGAGTTGGTCTAGTAAAGTTAAGTTGTGGTCATTTATTGAAACATGTTTAAACAAGCACTCAATAATTTTCCAGTGGGACTTATCTCTGTTCCTCCTTACCACTACCTTGTTTTAATTTAGATACAAAAAGATCGTAATCATTGTCATTAATTTAAAGCCTGTCTAGTCAAGTAGAGGATGTCAGTGGGTAGTGGATAACATATTAGTTATGCTGTGTCCTGCATTGTACATACAAATTCCCTGGGACTCCTATGGGTTGATTGCATATAGTAGGATGCACTATTGTAATAATATAATAGCTGTAATGATTTTCACAGATAACCTGTAAGTTCTGTCTAAAGAACTTAAAGACCACATGAAAACTCCCAAATGGACAGTTGTTTTAGAATTGCTCCTCTGAATTTGTTCCTGGATGCCAAACTGTATGCCAATAAATTTGACAATCTTTGTGAAATGGATGAATATTTACAAAAATATCAATTGCCCAGATCAATGGAAGAGGAAATAAAATACTTAATCTCAGAAAAAGAAATTGAACAAGCCATTGATGAACTGCCTAAGAAAAAGGCCAGATGGATTTACATGCAAATTCTATCAAACATTTAAAGAACAACGAATTCCAATACTACATAAACTATTTGGGAAAATCGGTGAAGAAAAATCCTACCAAATTATTTTTTTGATACAAATATGATGTTGATACCTAAACCAGGAAGAGCCAAAATAGGAAGAAAATTATAGACCAATTTTTTCAATGAATATAGATGCAAAAATTTTAAATAAAATATTAGCAAAAAAATTACAACAACTTATCTCAAGAATGATACACTATGACCAGGTAGGATTTATACCAGGAATGCAGGGCTGTTTCAATATTAGGAAAACTATCAGCATAATTGACCATATCAACAGCAAAACTAACAGAAATCATATGATTATCTCAATGGATGCAGAAAAAGCATTTGACAAAATACAACACCCATTCCTATTAAAAACACCAGAGAGCATAGGAATAAATGGAGTCTTCCTCAAAATGATAGATAGCAGCTATCAAAAACCATCAGCAAGCATTATATGTAATGGGAATAAACTAGAAGCATTTCCAGTAAGATCAGGGGTGAAACAAGGATGTCCATTATGACCACTGTTGTTCAATATTGGGCTAGAAAGGTTAGAGAAGAAAAAGAAATCTAAGGAATTAGAATAGGCAAAGAAGAAACAAAGCTATTACTCTTTGCAGATGATATGATGGTATATTTAGAGAATCCTAGAGAATCAGGTAAAAAATTACTTGAAATAATAAACAAATTTCACAAAGTTGCAGGATATAAAATAAACCCACAGAAATCATCAGCATTTTCTACATATTACTAACAAAGCCCAGCAGCAAGAGATAAAAAGAGAAATTCCATTTAAAATTAATGTAGACATTATAAAATATTTGGGAGTCTACCTACCAAAACAAAACCAATAACTATATGAACACAATTACAAAACACTTTTCACACAAATAAAGTCAGATCTAAATAACTGGGAAAATATCAGTTGCTCATGAGTAGGCTGAGCTAATATAATAAAAATGACAATTCTGCCTAAATTAATTTATTTATTCAACACCATACCAATCAAACTACTAAAAATTATTTTATAGAACTAGAAAAAATAATAACAAAATTCATCTGGAAGAACAAAAAGTTCAGAATATCAAGCGAACTAATAAAAAGAAATACAAAGGAAGGTGGCCTCGCTGTACCGGATCTTAAATTGTGTTATAAAGCAGCAATCACCAAAACTACTTGGTACTAGCTAAGAAATAGAGTGGTGAATCAGTGGAATAGGTTAGGTATGCAAGATACAACAGTCAATGACTATACTAATCCACTATTTGATAAATCTGAAGACTAATTTTTGGGATAAGAAATCACTATTTAAGAAAAACTGCTGGAAAAATTGGAAAAAATATATGGCAGAAATTGGGCACAGACCAACATCTTACACCCTATACCAAGATAAATTCAAAATGGGTACAGGATTTAGATATAAAGACTGATACCATAAGCAAACTAGAAGAGCAAGGAATAGTTTACTTTTCAGATCTATGGAGAAGGGAAGAATTTATGATCAAACAAGAATTAGAGAACATTATGAAATGCGAAGTGGATAATTTTGATTACATTAAATTGAAAAATTTTTGCACAAACAAAGCCAATGCATCCAAGATTAGGAGGGAAGCGAAAACTGGGAAAGAATTTTTATAATCAGTGTCTCTGACAGAGGCCTCATTTCTAAAATATATAGAGAACTGAGTCAAATTTATAAGAATACAAGTCATTCCCCAATTGATAAATAGTCAAAGGATATTAACCAGAAGTTTTCAGGGGAGAAAATGAAACTATCCATAGTCATATGAAAAAATGCTCTAAATCACTATTGATTAGAGAAATGCAAATCAAAATGACTCTGAGGTACCACATTACACCTATCAGATTGGCTAACATGACAAAACTGGACAATGATAAATGTTGGAGAAGATGTGGGAAAATTGGAACACTAATGCATTGTTGATGGAGTTGTGAAATGACCCACCCATTCTGGAGAGTGATTTGGAACTATACCCAAAGGACTATAAAAATATGCATACCCTTTGACCCAGCAATAGCACTTCTGGTTCTGTATCCCAAAGACATCATAAAAATGGGAAAAGGACCCACATGTACAAAAATATTCATAGCAGCTTTTTTTGTGGTGTCCAAGAATTGGAAATTGAAGGGATACCCATCAATTGGGGAATGGCTGAATAAGCTGTGGTATATGAATGTAAAGGAATGCTATTGTGTTATAAGAAATGATGAGCAGGCAGACTTCAGAAAAACCTGGAAAGAATTGTATGAACTGATGCTGAGTGAAATGAGCAGAATCAGGAGAACATTTTACACAGTAACAGCCACATTGTGTGATGACTAACTTTGATAGACTTGGCTCTTCATAGCAATGCAAGAACCTAAGACAGCTCCAAAAGATTCAATGATAGAAATTGCTATCCACCTCCAGAGAAAGAACTATGGAGCCTGAATGCAGATGGAAGCATACTATCTGCTCTCCTTTTCCTTTGTTATTTTGTTTTATTACTTCATTCTCGTGGTTCCTCCCATTAGTTCTAATTGTTCTTTACATCATGACTAATGGCAAAATGTGCTTAATATGAATGTATAAGCAGAGCCTGTATCAGATTGCTGTCTTGGGGGAAGGGGGAAGAGTGGGAGGTAGAGAAAATTTAAAACTCAAAATCTTATGGAAGTTAATGTTGAAAACTAAAAATAAATAAATTATTTTAAAAAAAAAGAATTTGTTCCTAGAGCAGCTCCTATGCAGATGATCTTACTCTCCCTTCTACAAGACCATTCTAAGATTCTGGATAACTTATAAATCAATCTGATCTTCCCAAGGCTCTCTAAACTTTCATCTAGATCTTCAAGGCCACTCTGACTCCAACCTGATTTTTGCTGGGAGACAGAAATTTCTGGTGATCTAGCCAAACCTCACTGAAATCTAGGTTTTAGGGCAAGGTGAACAAACCAGAAATCTATATATTTTGGAACTTCTCAGTGTAGAAATATATGGGAAGTTTTTATATGTATAAGAAGGACATCACTTGTCTGAAGCACTAGTATACTCCTGAGAAAAATAAGTTGCTGAATTCAGTTTGTCTTGACAGTTCACTAGTCGAAAGCATAGATCCTCCTCAGAGTTCTATGAGGAATAATTATTGAGTTACATTTGACACAATTTATGGTAAAAATATGACAAACTGTGGAACACTGGAGGAAATGGAAAACATAGGTAAATGACATTTGTCCCAATCAGAAAAGTCAGAATGGTTCTCGTTTCCATACTTTCCCTGTTATAAATCCCAAAGTTGCTCCAATTCTTTAACTCTTCCATCACTGAAGAACTGAAGTATTAGAGCAACTTTTGGGGTAATAACAGGGAAAGTATGGAAATAAGAACCATTCTGACTGTGAGATGAGTGTTATTTACCTGAGTAAATATGGAAGATGAGAGTTTGGTTACTGGTCAGAAGCTAAGGTGAGGTTTTTTGCAGGGAGGCCTAACAGGGGTGGGGAACCTGAAGCCTCGAGGCCACAGGGTAAAAAGGTGAAAAAACAGAATTCATAACTGTATAAAAAAAGACTATAATTATCTCTTTGTACTTTTACTTTTTATGGTATGGAGCACTGTTTATTATCTGTGCTACCAAGAAGAATGAAAAGGAATTGAGAGAATATACTGTGCTATCTATTATGAGTTTGCTAATGAAATTAGAAGATAGAAGATACTTCCTCTGCATTGCCACTTGGGTTTTATTTTTTTAACTTTTTTAGGCAATTGGGGTTAAGTGACTTGCCCAGGGTCACACAGCTAGTAAGTGTCAAGTGTTTGGTCTGAGGCCGGATTTGAACTTAGGTCCTCCTGACTTCAGGGCCGGTGCTCTATCCACTGCGCCGCCTAGCTGCCACCGCATTGCCACTTGTTGAAGTAGAGGAGAAAAATCTTGCAAAAGAGCAACATTAGCAGGGCTATTGCCAACTTTGGATAAAGATCAGTATCTCTTCCTAAAAGAGCATAATGCTACTTCAGCTGAAGTCTTCAGCAAAGTCTGAAAATAGAAGTGATATAAGTTACAGTTCCTGTCAAAGAGTAAGTTCAGCTGAACTGAGAAACAACTTAGAAATGGAAAATCAGAGGAGCCACCCAGACTGAGTAGTCTGGCTGAGATATTGCTTTGAGTGGACTGTTAATCATCAGCTTAGCTTAACTAAGAAAACATCTGTTCAGTACAAAAACTACTTTATCAAAAAACTTTTATGGACAGTTCTTGGAAAAGAGAAGACAATGGGCTGGTGTTAAGATGATAGAACAGTACACAAAAATGTACATTAATAATATGGTGAAATGCTTTTTTCTTTTTACTGATTTAGACCAGTATTAATGAAGTAATTTGTAACAGCATGATAAAGCAGAATTGTACCTCTTTTAAGAGTTGTTTATTGTCTTATAAATTGTTTAGAAGTAATGCTGTGTTATGTTTACTCACAGGCGCAATTGGATGGTTTGACTGGGCGCATCACCTTCAATAAAACAGATGGCTTAAGGAAAGATTTTGATTTGGACATTATTAGTCTCAAGGAGGAAGGGACAAAAAAGGTAATTCACTTGGTACAATATTTTCTCAAGGATTTTTGCTAAATTGCAAGTTCAAGTTATTCAGTTTAGGAATTTTTTCTCTCAGTCTTCACAAGTGACAGAAATTTATTAAATAGAAACTTGACAAGGTGTTGGTCTGAGAAACTAAATGAGACTTTAAGGGATCACAAAATAACAGACGTATAATTTGAAAAGGGGATGGTATCCAGTAGACTAAGATATTTATTTTTTCACTCACATTTAGGAATCAAGGGTAATAGAAGAAAGATGGATAGAAAATAGAAACTTAATAAATTAATTTTGCATTTACTAGATTTTTAAAGGCTAAAGATTGTCTAAAATATTTTTTCCCTCCATTGACTTCTTTTATATATTTTTGGTGATATTTCATAATTATTATTATTTGCTATTGAAAAAGGCAGAGATTTGGCTTCTTAGCATTAACTTGAGTATTTTCCAATTATAACAAATAGTTAAATAACATTCTTATTGCAAAGGTTTTCTCTTAAGATTAAAAAAAAAATTAGAAAAAAATCAATTTCTTTTATCTTAGTACTGATAATCCAATATGCTATGGTGGAGCTATTGCTTTGTTTTCAGAATTATACATTATAGTACCATAGTGTATCATTTTTATTGTTATCTTTTCTTTAAATGGGAAAACACATTTTCTTACTCATTCATATATACATTCATTCAATAAGTATTTATTTTTTCTTTTTTAAAACTATTTTTTCCAATTACATGTAAAAATTTTAAAACCTTGGTTTTTTAAAAATTTTGAGTTCCAAATTCTTACCCCTCATTGTGAAGGTAAGCAATCTGATGTTATACATGTATAATCATGCAAAAGATATTTCCATGTTAGTCATGTTGTAAAAGAAAACACAGACCAAAAGAAAAAAAAACAAGAAAAATGAAGTTTAAAAAAGGTAGCCTATTGTTTCTGAAACAGTGATGTATTAAAGTTATTTAAATAAAGCCATCTCACATAATTTTGATATATTACCCTGTTTGAAATTCTTTGGCTCCTTTCTCTATTTCATATTCCTATTAAATTAGTTGCTCCCACTGTGGACTATTTGTTTTTTGTTTCCAATGACTACTATACATTCGTGGACTAGCATGAGATTGAATGTAGTATGTATTGCTGGCATCTACTGATTCGCTCTTTTCTGTGTAGATTGGAATTTGGAATTCCAACAGTGGTCTTAATATGACTGACAGCAATAAAGACAGGTCCACTAACATCACTGACTCACTAGCTAATCGAACGCTTATAGTTACCACCATTCTGGTAAGTCTGCTTTATTAAAATTATGTTTTCATTCGCTGTTATCTGCCTATTAGACCCCAAAGAATTTTGCTCTTAAAAAAAATCTTATATCTGTGTATATAGCTTCCTTCAAGACTCAGTTCTTTATGAATGTTTTTAATGAAGAAATTTATGTTTAGTGGTTTTCTAGTATTACAATAATTTCAGTCCAACGAAACAAGCACATATTACATGCACCAGCATATCTCTAGCCTCCCTAGCTCTGAGATCCTCATTTACTACTAGCCTTGGCAGGCTGGAGTTTGATACTTACAAGTGATCAATTCCTCCATCTTCTCTGTGTCCAGGTGCCCAGACAGCCAGTTCACCTTGAATGAGAAGACTGATTGAGCATGAGTATATTCTGTAGTCGGCTCATCTTTCCCTGTATTGCTGACAGTTTCCAAACTTAAGTAATTTGATATATGTAGTAAGCTTATAGAACTTGAATAAGTGCATCATGTCTTCCTTATAAATATTAAAATGCTATATAAGTATGATCAAGTATTATTGGTAATTTGTTTACTTTCTTTCATATAGGAAGAGCCCTACGTAATGTTCAAAAAGTCGGACAAGCCTCTGTATGGGAATAATAGATTTGAAGGGTACTGCCTGGATTTGCTTAAAGAGTTGTCAAATATTCTGGGTTTCACTTATGATGTTAAACTAGTACCTGATGGTAAATATGGAGCCCAGAATGACAAAGGAGAATGGAATGGGATGGTCAAAGAACTTATAGATCATGTAAGAAAAACTAAATATCACTCTTTTGCATTCATGCACACACACAAACACATGCAGGACTTTTACAAACCTTGAAGTTCTATATAAACATTAGCTATTATTATTTATATGATAGAAAGAGATAGTGGAGATACGGAGACTTTACTATTCCTTCAAATAACTCAAGTAATATGTAAGTAGGATGAGGGAATATTGGTCTTTATAGCTACAAAATGAAGTCTCCTGGACAACTAAGCTTATGGTCATTTCATGTCCATGAATTTTACATGCTTTTAAAGGCCCCAAATGTCATTTGCAATCAGTCTTAGCCATGGAAAAGAAGTATATCTGGTTAGAAGTACTGATATCTCGTCATTAGAAAATTATTCTATGTCTATATGTGAATTTAAACACATTTTTATATATGTGTATGTATAGTAGTTCAGATTGCTGGGGTTCTTTATTTTAAAATTAATCCTTGGGGCAGCTAGGTGGCGCAGTGAATGAGCACCAACCCTGAAGCCAGGAGGACCTGAGTTCAAATGTGACCTCAGACACACAACAATCACTAGCTGTGTGACCATGGGCAAGTCACTTAACCCCAATCGCCTAAAAAAAAAATTAATCCTCATGATAAATTTACTATTTGAGAACTTAATAGGAGCTAGGGGCAGGGGAGGGAAGAGCATTTTACACATCACACCTATTTCAGATGCTGTGTCAGAGAAAATGAATCCCTTTTATGATTTATTTTTCCAGAAAGCCGACCTGGCAGTTGCTCCTCTTACAATTACCTATGTGAGAGAGAAGGTCATTGACTTTTCCAAACCCTTCATGACACTGGGCATTAGCATTTTATACAGGAAACCCAACGGCACAAATCCTGGTGTCTTCTCCTTCCTCAATCCTCTCTCGCCTGACATTTGGATGTATGTTCTCTTAGCCTGCCTTGGAGTCAGTTGTGTCCTCTTTGTGATTGCAAGGTAAGTCAAACAAGAATGGGCCTTACTTAAACATGCTTCTAGATATGCCCTGGAGCTAAACACAATTTAGAATCTTAAAGTGGCATCACAGTCTCATCAGATGTCCAGACAGGAAAAGATTTTCCACCTGAAGTCACTGTAAAAGCTGTTTTCTCTTTACTTAAACAATTTAGCTTTAGTAAAACATAACAGTTAACACCAGCCTCCTATATTGGCACATGTAATTGATTTTTTGTTTTATTTTATTGTCATTTCAGCTTAGTCCTAAAATGTCTTGACTGGATATCAACATGTTTTAGTCTTTTTGAAATGTATATAGCAAAACTGGGAAGAGTTGGCTAAGAAATTGTCTAAGAGAATAGAAAATAGTGGCATAAATGGAAATCTGCAAACTTTTTAGCAACAATAAAAAGTATTGGATTTAAATTTGTTTACAAAAAAAGTTGGGAAGTAAAAAATAGGAAGATTTTAGGTAATTATAAATAAATTATTATTTACCAAGCTTAGAGACATGAAAGTTTTATGCTATCATCAAGGAATAACTTATTTTTGTTTATTTGTTTTCCAGATTTTACTCTATGTTTAAGGTCTCAGCTTTACACATTGGACTTTAAAGGGTTTTTGGACTTATAATAGAACTCATTTTCCATATATATTCAATTCTATATTAGAATGTCATTATTTTGTCTTTCAGTTGCATAAACATTGGATATCTTTACATAAAAGATTAAAAATGCTCTTTTTTGTTGCTTTTCCCCTTTTCAGCACTAAAATATGCTAAACACTTTGTGTGAAATTTTTTTAATGGATTTTCTGCTGGGAAAACATCAAATTTCTAAAATAAAATAAATATTTTCCCCTGACAATACTGCAATATATACTTGATACATAGGAGCATAGATCTTGATAAAGACCAATGCCAGGAAAAAGGACTTTAAGATTAGTCACACAATGGAACAAAATAAAATGTGTAGATTTGTATAAATATGCTGTGAAATTATTTTAAGTTCTTTATAGCTTTTCAATAGAAAAATGTGTAGCACTGTACTTTTCAAATAATAATATTGTTCAACAAAGTTGAATTAAATTGGAAAAAATTACCAATATTCATTGTCACAGCATCAATTAGAGGTAAATCAGATCTGTATAGCAGTCTGGCATTTGTGGAAGAAAAATTCTTTACTCTGCAGTTTAACTAAAGTCTTTAGAGAAAGTAGTATTGCTGATACAAGAAAGATCCAAATTTCTCCTATCCAATAAATTTCCATTTATATATAAATATATATGTATGTGTAGTACATATGTATGCATATATATGTCCAAAAACAAAAGACATAGTTCCATAACAAAGACAAAAGTATGTAATTCAAGTTTAGTGGTTTTTAAATTTTATTTATCAACTAGAACAATGGTAACATTAATGTTGGTGCACCCTTAGAGGAAATATTTCCCTGGTATATGATAAACAATAAATGCTTATTGACTAACTCACTGAAAACAATCATTCCATCTTTAACTATTTCCCTTTCACTCTAGTTAAAACAAAAAATAATTGTCTTACGTGAAAGAAAGACATTTCCATGCTTACTTCTGTCCAGCAGTGAAATTAAGATTTTCTTAGTTTCAGGGAACCAAGATTCCCACCTGCAATTGATTGCTTTCTATTAAAGGAAGACTGATTATATCTTTGATTCAAGTGAGACCAAAGACATTAAATTAAGACACTGTCATAATGTTATTTCTTAATATCATAGCACAATTGAGGCTTTAATGCTATTTTCTTCCATAGTTTGAAGACTACCTCTATCACTGAGCATAGGCGAGTCTGTAGCCCAATCCTCATGGTAACATCATAAGGGTCAAATGACATAGTATAATATTTTTTAAACTTTCCTGAAAATATACAAATAGATTTGTTATTTCATTGATTTGAATATTCTCTCCAATAATAGATTATAACCCATCTGTGCTAGTCTGTGCTGTGCAGTTTTTGCCCATTATCTCCAATTAGTTCACCACGAAGTGGCCTACTTTTATATCTGGAGAATTTATTCACTTTCTTCTGACACTTCAAGGACATTAGTACAGCTGTCATGCCTTAGCCTTTCCACATGTCCAGCAGATTGACAGGAAGGAGGTAGGGGGAGATAAGGGAAGAAGAAGGGGGAAGATAGAGAGTATTTTTCTGGTTACAGGAATGCTTAACTTTATACTGTAAGTCCCTTACTGAAACAGTATCAAAATGTACTGTCATCTATTAAAGATCTGAAGGAACATATTTTGTCATGCAATTGTTGGGAACTGAGGGAAGAAGTTATAACTCATTTTTACGGGATAAGCTAGAAAATTCTTATTCTAGTTCCACACAATAAAAGGATACATGGTATATTTTCTACAAATGGGCCAGGAATTTAGGTAATAGTCTGTAATTAAAATAACTAACCTGCCCAATTCTTGAACTTGACTAGAAGCTCTACATTTTATTATTCACCTTAATCCCTTAAAGGTGTCAACAGGTTGAGGGTTTTTTTTGGTTTTTTGCTGCTAAAGACTGGAGATCAGAGACCCTTCAGTATGTTTTAATTTTATTTATAGATGTTCAACCATATTAACTTGGAAAGATAGGATTTTCCAAATGGAAAAAAAAAATGTTCTCAGGGGAGGTACCCCATTTCAACATGCTAATGTTGCTTTCAGTGCAGTTGCTACTTGTTTTCTGGATATCACTGAAAAAAAAATAAGGAAATAGAAGAAATATTTCCAAGCAATAATGGGTAGGAAGATATTTGGTAAGGAATAGAGGAATTTATATTTAAACTCCTGATTGTTCATTGGAATTATAAATGAATAACCATCTCTCTCACTTTATGAAAAAACTAGGGCCCAGAGAAATTATATTATTTGACCAAGTTCACACAGCTAGTTAGCAGAAGAAATGCTTTAAGTTTTACAAAGTGTTTTCTGTATGTTATCTTATTCGATCCTCCCAAAACTTTATGAGGTAAGTGCCATTATTATACCCACTTTACAGATGAAGAATCTGAGGCTGAAAGTTTCAATGATTTGCTTAGGGTCACATAGCAAGTAATTATCTGAGGTAGGATTTGAACTCAGGTTTTCCTACTTTCAGATCCAATAGTCTGTTATTATATCACTTAACTGCCTGCAAATTTGCTTCATAACTAAATTTGATAATCAGTTGAGTATAAACATGTATCAAAATGCTTAACTGCTAAAAATACAACCATATTAAAGTAAATAAAAATGTCAAGCATGGAACGCTCAAAGATATCCAAAAATGTATGCTTCCTTTGAGAGTATCCTTAAGGTTCTTAGAGTTAATGTCACACAAACTTATTTAATCCCAGTAATTTCTAAGCCTAAATTTCCTCTCTCTTTTAGGCCTCACAATCAGATTTATGGTTTTCCCTTGTGCTCTCCAAAGGCAACAATCCCCAAACATCCAGTCTTCTTCCACCAGCAATCTTGCCTGGCTAGTACAGTGAACTATACAATTGCTAAAATACATCTGTTCCTTTTAAGCAGCCTCGTATAGTATCCTTGTATCCACAATTCTCACATGAAGAATCCTCTTCTATAATTCGTCAAGTTGTGCAACTAGAGAAATGGATGAGAACTTGGAAATGAAATCAGTAGGCATGGGTGTGAAGAATCCAAGTCCAGAGAATCTGGAGTCTTTGCCTTAAAATGAGCAATCATGAAAATATTTGTAGAACTAAGTAAAACTATAGTTTGGAAATGTTGACTTTGATATTCTGATTTTATTTTAACCACTAATCTTTGGATTTTCTGCATTGTTCAGCAGATTTGTTGGTATAAATTTTAATATTTACAGACTATTTCTGTTAACTACCACAGGTTTACACCCTATGAATGGTATAACCCCTACCCATGCAATCCTGATTCAGATGTGGTGGAAAACAATTTTACTTTACTAAATAGTTTCTGGTTTGGAGTTGGAGCTCTCATGCAGCAAGGTACCACGGTTACCCATTATTTTTGCACACATCCCACAGTCTGCTCAGTAACTTCTATGTTGGTAAACTCCACCATCTCTCCCTAGAACATTCATTGTAAATAAGTTCATATAAAAATACAAACAAATAGAAATAAAATACAAATAGAAAATACACGGTGACAGAACATGGAATTTGATGGGCAAGCAATAGTTAGAAAGCCAACATGGCTGGAATGTAGTGGGGAGGAGGTGTAGTAAATTATAGAAACACTAAAAAAATTTAGGAGGGTGCCAGGTTGTGAAGGGCATAAAATGCCTGAGGATTTTTCATTTTTGACCCTAGAAGTAAAAGAGAACCAGTGGGGTTTATTGAGTAGAGGAGTGACATGGAGAGAACTATGCTCCAGGGAAATCAATCTGGCAAATGTGTAGAGGTTGAACTAGAGTGGAGAGAAGACTGAGGCACAGTCCTACTAGAAAGCTATTAGAATAGATCAAGCAAGAGGATTAGGGCTGTCTGAGTGAAGAAAAGGGGACACTGGTACTTATTAAGTGCCTGCTATGTGCTAGACATGTTGCTAAATACTGAGGATACAAAGAAAGATAATAAACAGTCCCTGCTCTCAAGGAGCTAACAGTGTAATGACTATGACAAGATGCAAACAACTATGTTCAGACAAGATATGTAGATATAGAAGATAAATGGGAAATAATCAACAGAGGCAAGGCACTAGAATTAGGGGGATTGGGAAATACTTTCTTGGATTTATCTTATTCTTGAATGAAGCCAGGGAAGTCCAGAGGCAAATGGGAGACAGCCAGTGAAAATGTCCAGATTTGGGAGATGGAGTTCCTTGTTCAAGAAACAGCAAGGAGGTCAATGTCCGTGGATCACAGAGTATGAGCGGGGAAGAGGGAATAAAATGTAAGAAGACTGTTAAGATGCACAGACTATAAAGGGCTTTGAATGACAGAGTATTTTACGTTTGATCCTAGAGATGATAGAGAACCATTGGAGTTTACTGAGTAGGTGTTGACATGGTCAGACTCATGCTTTAGGAAGATCAATGTGGCAGCTGAATGGAGAATGGATTAGAGTAAGGAGAGATTTGAGTAGGGAGATCAGACCAGAAGTGTGAGGTGATGAGAGCCTGTACCAGGGTGGTGGCAGTATCAGAGGAGAGAAGTGGGTGCTTTGGAGAGATGTTACAATATACTGGATACATGCCATGAGAGTGAAGAGTTGCAATCCTAGGTCACTGGGAGAATTGTAGGGAAGTTGGGAAGAGAAGATTTTGAAGAAAAATAATGAGGTCTATGTTGGACATAATGAGCTTGACGGGTCTAAGGGACATCTAGTTTGAAATGACAATTGGTAATGCAGAACTGCAGTTCAGGAGAGAGACTAGTGCTAGATACATAGATTTGTGTATCATCTCCATGAAAATGATGATTGAACCCAAAGGAGTTGTGATTTAGCAAGTAAGAGTATAGAGAGCAAAGAAGTCCCAAGACAGAACTTTGGGGGACAGCTACACTTAGTGGGGATAACAAATGAAGGTCCAGCAAAGAAAAGGAGTAATCAGACAGGAGAACCAAGAAAGTAGAGTCAGGAAAACCCAGATAAGAGAGAACATTCAGGAAGAAAAAGGGATCAGTGGCATCAAATGCTCCAGAGCTCTAGGAAGATCAGGGCGGAGAAAGATCCACTAAATTTAGCAATTATCATTTGTAACTTTGAAGTCAGTTTCAACTGAATGATGAGTAGAAGTCAGATTGCAGGGAATTTATAAGAGTGAGAGGAGAGGAAATGGAAGAAGCCAGCATATATAGACTTTTTCCTCCCCCAAGGAATTTAGCTGCAAAGGGCAGGAAAGCTACATGATAATAGCCAAAAGTGATGATAGGATCAAGTTGGGATTTTTTATATATGGGGGAAACAGGTGTGTTTGTGGGCATCAGACAAGAACCAGCAGTAGAGAGAAACTGAAGATTGTCAGGGTGATAGTATGAGCAATCTGCGAGCTTAAAGTGGAATGCAGGCTTTCACAAGAGGTACCTTGGTATAACCTCTCTGAGGCATGTATTGGCAGATACATTAGACTCAAACAAAGCTCCTATGTAGAAATACTACAATACACAATACACTAATGTTGAAAACCCAAATATTTGAATAAAGAATACAAATTGTTCTGCCTGCAGTTAGATATTGTTTATTTGGGTGTTGTTTCATAATTACAGACACCAAGCCCGATTTTCTAGAAATCCCAAGTATGATATTTTTAGTACATTTAGTTTGTTTTTAGGACATTTATCTGTAGAGTAATTACTTTCAAAAAGTCTGAGGTGAGATTTTAACAAATACTGAAGGGAAACAGATTTTATAATAGCAAGTAGGTGTGTGCACATGATTATGACTACACTGGGTACTGTACACTTCTAGCATATTATATTTAATGTTCAATCTGTTTGGAGTTTATCATCATCCACAGCAAACCATGGGATGTGGTGCCTGCTAGTCACCACTACCTTGGGTACATGACAGTGAGCCCCAGCCAGACTCTGCTTGTCTTTTAAGAAGCTTAAAAGCATTTAAAAGAAGTAGTTATTTCCACATATGAGTCTTGGGATATGTGTTATGTTGAGTGCACCTGTCATAACTACTGTGGAGAGTGAAAAAAAGAGGAATGGTAGTAAACATCTGCATTTACTGTTATAGTCTTCTTTATCGACAGATACTTGTTTCTGTGCTCAACTGGAAGCCATTTGGAGGATTGATTATTAATTTATTGATCAGACTTTCTCTTTTCTACATTGTATGAGCAAAGTCTGGATCAGGATTGGCTGTCATGTCTGCCCATAGAAAGCAAATTTGACACTTCTGCAATTATTGTTTTTAACCTTGATTTTTACTAGAATTTACATTCCATTCCATTTAATAGTTCCCAAGCACACTGCTCCATCCAAAGTTCTCAGCTCATGGTTAATGTCTAACATAATTAAGCAAATCACTGAGAAGGAAAGGACCTATAACTTCAGTGGTATAGGGAAATCTCAGGCAAAAAATTCCTTCTACTAATGAAGGTTACCACCTCCTCTGCAAATTATAGTCTTAGGAACTTGACTAGAGCACTGAGAAAGTAAGTAACGTTTCCCCACTCACACAGCCAGTATCAGTGGTGGGACTTAAACTCAGGTCTTCCTGGCTGAGATTGGCTCTCTCTTTACCAGGTCATGGTGCCTCTTTTTTTTTTTTTTAGGCAGTTGGGGTTAAGTGACTTGCCCAGGGTCACACAGCTAGTAAGCATCAAGTGTTTGGTCTGAGGCCACATTTGAACTCAGGCACTCCTGACTTCAGGGCCGGTGCTCTATCCACTGCGCCACCTAGCTGCCCCCATGGTGCCTCTTAAAGCAGATCAGTTAAAGACAAAAATTTGAAAATTCATGTGATGAGGAATAATGAAAGGTAAATAACCTGATTTTTAAACCTAATACCTTGTTTAAAAGTAGCATTGATTCAATTAAATTTAGTTAAATTTTTTTCCATTTCCAAAGACTCTCATCCATAATCATAAAAATACTACTTTAACATATAATCTTACTCATAACCAATTCCTTATGCTTCAGTAACAACTTACGCACCCATTGTTATGTTTCAAGCTAAATTGAAATTTTATCAACTCAATCACAGAATGTATAGTGATAAAAAGAAAAAAAACCCACCCCCACAACATAACAGCATTTCTAATAAATTATACGGACTAGTTGTATAGCTATTACATGAAATAAATATTTTTTCCTTTGTAGCCAAATAAAAATCTAACCACTAAGTTTTTCCAGAAAAACAAATCCTGGAAAAACCAAAAGATTAAAGAATGAAATGAAAAATTCTTATTCTAGGAAATGTCTCATAATCTTTTCTATATTTGGATTAAATTACATACCTGGATCTAGAATAAGAACAAAAAATAGGAATCACTATTATAAAATGTATTTGTCCCATCCAAAGTGAACTGAAACATAAAGCTGACATGAAGAAAATGTATTTGCTAATTTAAAGTCTGAGAGGTCTTTTAACTCTGTGCTCTCATCAGTTTACCAAGGGCCTTGAACATTCTTTGATCTTCATGGTGATTATGAGTGCTTATTTCTGGGTGAAGTTTAAGTATAAACCTCTTTGCCTGAAGTATTAAATCATTTTATTATTTACTTTTAAACTATAACCACATATATATTTAAAACGTCCAGTTATTTCAGTGGAAAATTCAGTCAAACCTATTTGTTCACATCCAGTAGGCAAAACATTTATTGATGATTTTTTTTTCATTTTTCAGTCACTTCTTGTGCCTGCTATTACTGGGCATAGTGAATGACAGCACAATGACTCTAAGAACAGATTCAGGATGACTTTAAATTAAACCTGATCAATCCCAACCTACCTATGAAGAGTAAAATTGTAATAAATTGTATGCTTCTGGCCTCTGACAATTGGTCCATTGAGATTGTAGTGGCTCAGTCTGAGCAATGATTTAAAGTCCATAAAATATAATAAAATAATAAAGTCTGTAAAATCTCCACAAAATCCCTCAGATATTTTCCATCTTGAAAAAATTAATATTCCATCTTTTAATATTGTACTTATATGCAAAAACCTAAAAGGAATTGTTTTATATAGAGACTTAAAAAACACTATCTACAATAAAATTCATTTTAATGAAATTATAAAGGAATAGGGTTTCAACTGAAAATACATCTTTAGAAAACAATTAGAAACCTTTGGATTTCAGACAGAGAATTTCAGTATAAATGATTGTTTAACACCATCAACACAGGTTCGTAGAAAAAAAATACAGGTGATTATTGAAAATTTTTCATAATGAAAGCATTATCTCCCAAGGATAGTATACAATGTAAGTTTATGCTTTTCTTTTGATGTCATTTAATATTCTTACTTTGATGATAACAGGATCAGAGCTAATGCCCAAAGCTCTTTCTACAAGAATAGTAGGAGGAATTTGGTGGTTTTTCACCTTAATCATCATTTCATCCTATACTGCAAATCTGGCTGCCTTCTTAACAGTAGAGAGAATGGAGTCCCCCATAGATTCAGCGGATGATTTGGCAAAGCAAACAAAGATAGAATATGGGGCAGTGCGAGATGGATCAACAATGACCTTCTTTAAGGTAAGACTGTGATAAAGTACATTCTATGTGCGCTCCTCCAAAGAATGGGTAGGAGGATATATACACGAGAAAAACACATGAACACATTAATGCGTGCATACACACACACATTAGATACTAGGGGACAAAATATTCTGCATGTTTTTAACAACGCAGTCCTGTCATTCTAAATTTTTTTTTCATTCCCTTGGATCACAGAATGATATTTAATCTTTTTTTTTTAAATCAGTCTTTAGCTGTGGCCCATAGGTTGGAATTCATTTGCCCTTAAATCATAGTAATTCTGATTTTCTAAGATTTTCTGATATTATCCCAATGATGTTACACATAGTACACTATTTTGTGAATTAAATTGATTTATATGGAATTTAAATTAGAATAGCCAAGAATTTTGGACTTGGAGTTAGGAAGACAGGTTCAAATCTTGCCTCAAATATATACAAGTTGCACTTCCAGCAGCCCAGATGGCAGAGTAAGCAGGAAATCAACTGAACTCACATTCACCTCCAAACAACTATAAAATAGTTCCTCAAAACAAATTCTAGAATAGTAGAATGAACAAAGGGACAGGGTGAAACAATTTTCTAGCCTAAGACAACTTGGAAAATTGGCAGGAAAGGTCTGTCTTACTTGGGTGAAAGGGTAACACAGTCCAGGGCAGGCAGTGTCCCAGGAAGCCAGCAGCAGGCCCTGCCTCAGCATGCCAGCAGGAGGTCCTGAGCCCCAGGGCAGATCAGTGACCAAGGGCCTGTGGCTCTGTTACAAGCAGCTAGCCCAATCTCCACCACACCCCTCTCTGTGGCCCAGAATAAGCAAGCAGGGACCCCAAAACAACAAAAGAACCAGACTAAAGAAAGTTGTTATGATGACAGGGAAGAGCAAGACACAAATTCAGAAGAGGACGACAATGTCAAAATATCTACGTGAAAATCCTCAAAGGAAAATATGAATTGGTCTAAAGCCCAAAAAGAACTCCTGGAAGAGATCAAAAAGGAGTTTAAACATCAAATAAGAGAGGTAAAAAAAAAAATTGAGAAATGAGAGTGATGCAAGAAAATAATGAAAAAAGCATCAACAGCTTGATAAAGGAAATACACAAAAAAAGAAAAAGATGTACAAAAATTTATTGAAGAAAACAACTGCCTAAAAAGTAAGATTGGCAAAATGGAAAAGAAGGTAAAAAAGCTAAGTAAAGAAAAGATCTCTGAGCAGCTAGGTGGTGCAGTGGATAAAGCACCAGTCTGGGAGTCAGGAGGACCTGAGTTCAAATCTGGCCTCAGACACATAACATTCACTAGCTGTGTAACTCTGGGCAAGTCACTTAACCCCAAATGCCTCACAGGAAAAAAGAAAAGAAAAGATCTCCTTAAAAATTAGAATTGGACAAGTGGAAGCTAATGACTCCATGAGACATCAAGAATTAATCAAAAGAATCAGAAGAATGAAAAATAGCAGAAAATGTGAAATATCTCATTGGAAAAATAACTGATCTACAAAATAGATCCAGGAGAGATAGTTTAAAAATATTAAACTACCTGAAAGCCATGATCAAAGAAAGGACTTGGACATCATACTTCAAGAAATTAGCAAAGAAAACTGCCGATATCCTAGAATAAGACATTGCAAGAATCCACCAATCAACTCTGGAAAGAGATCCCAAAATGAAAACTCCAAGGAACATTATAAACAAATTACAGAATTCCCAGGTCAAGCAAAAAAATATTGCAAGCAGCTAGAAAGAAACAATTCAAATATCAAGGAGCCATAGTTAGGATTACTCAGGATTTAGGAGCTTCAACATTAAAGGATCAGAAGGCATGGAATATGATATTCCAGAAGGCAAAGGAACTACAATTACAACCAAGAATCACCTACCCAGCAAAACTGAACGTAATCCTCTAGGGGGGGAAATGGTTATTCAATGAAATAGAAGGCTTTTAACTTTCCTGGTGAAAAGACCAGAGCTGAACAAAAAAAAAATGATTTTCAATTTCAAAAGAAACATAAAAAGAGAAAAAAAGAAAGAGGAAACATAAGGGATTGAATAAGGCTAAACTGTTTATATCCCTACATGGGAAAGTGATAGTTGTAATTCTTAAGAACTGTATCACATTACCACAGTTAGAAGACACATACACCGACAGATGATGTGGGTATAAGGTGCATTTGAGGTGATAATATATAAAAAAAATTAAGGGGTGAGAAAGAGGATCACACAGGAAGTAGAAGAAAAGGAGAAGTAGAATGGGGCAAATTATCTCACATAAAGAGGCATAAAAGACTATTACAGTAGAGGGAAAGATGACAGGGTGAACAGTGAGCATTGTTTGAACCTTATTCTCATTGAAATTGGCTCAAAGAGGGACTAACATACACAATCAGTTGAATATAGAAATCTATCTTACCCTACAGGGAAGTAAGAAAGGAGGAGGTAAAGAAAGGGGGAGGGGGGAAGGCAGATTGGGGGAGGTACTGATCAGAAGCAAAACACTGGTGAGGAGGGAGAGGGTGAAAGGAGAGAGAGAGAAGGATAAAAAGGAAGAAAAATATGATGGAAGGTAATACACAGTTAGTAATCATAACTGTGAATATGAATGGAATTAACTCTCCCAAAAATGAAAGCGGATAGCAAAGTGGATTAGAAACCAGAATCTTAAAACAACCATTTTATGAGAAACATACTTGAAACAGAGACCCACTCAGAATAAAGTTAAGGGGCTGGAGAAGAATCTATTATGCTTCAGATAAGTAAAAAAAAAGTAGGGGTAGCAATCATGATTTCAAACAAAGCAAAAGCAAAAATAGATCTAATTAAAAGAGGTAAGGAAGAAAACTACATCTTGCTAAGAGGTACCATAGAAAATGAAATAATATCAATAGTAAACATATATGCACCAGGTGGTATAGCACCCAAATTCTTAAAGGAGAAATTATGTGAGTAGAGGAGGAAACAGGCAATAAAACTATATAACTTGGGGACCTCAACTTACCCTTCTCAAAACCAGATATATCTAATAATAAATAAATAATAAAGATATGTTTTTTATTAGATAAAATAAGATAAATAAGATAAAATAAGTTTTTTAATAGATAAATAAGAGGTAATTAGAATTATAGAAAAGTTAGATATAACAGACATCTGGAAAAAATTGAATGGGGATAGAAAAGAATCTACATTTTTTCTCAGTGGCATATGGCACCTACACAAAAATTGACCATATATTAGGGCATAAAAACCTCAAAATCAACTGCAGAAAAACAAAAATATTAAATGCATTTTTTCAGATCATAATGCAATAAAAAATTACATTGAATAAAGGGCAGTGGAAAGATAGATTAAAAATTAATTGGAAACTAAATAATGTAATCCTAAAGAATAAGTGAGTCAAAGAACAAGTCATAGAAATGATCAATCATTTCATTAAAAATAATGACAACAATAAGACAACATACCAACAATGAAATAATAGCCAAAACAGTACATGGGGAAATTTATTTGTCTAATATTTTACATCAATAAAACAGAGAAAGAGTAAATCAATGAATTAGGCAACTAAATGCAACTAAAATAACTAGAAAAAAGAACAAAATAAAAATCCCTAACTAAGCACCAAATTGAAAATCCTAAAACCAAAGGTGAGATTAATAAAATTGAAAGTAAGAAAAATATTGAGCTAATGGATAAAACTAGGAGCTGATTTTAAGGAAAAAAACGCCAATAAAATAGACAAACCATGATTTAAAAATAAAGAAGAAAATCAAATTACCAAGGGTGAATTCACCACCAATGAAGAGAAAATTAAAGCAATTATTAGGAACTATTTTGCCCAATTATAAGCCAATAAATTTGAAAATCTAAGAGAAATCCATGAATATTTATAAAAATATAAATTCCCCAGATTAGCAGAAGAGGAAATATAATACTTAAATAACCCATTTTAGACAAAGAAGTTGAACAAGTCGTCAATAAACTGCCTAAGGAAAAAAATCCTTAGGGTCAGATGAGTTTACAAGTGAATTCTACCAAACATTTAAAAAAAAATTAATTCCAATACTATATAAAACTATTTGGAAAAATATGTGAAGAAGAGTCCTACCAAATTCCTTTTACAACACAAATATGGTTCTGATATCTAAATCTGTAAGAGCTAAAACAGAGAAAGAAAATTATGGACCAATTTCCCTAATGAATATTACTGCAAAAATTTTGAACAAAATACCAGCAAGGTGATTACAGCAATACGTCAAAAGGGTTATAAACACTACAACCAGATGGGATTTATACCAGGAATGCGGGGCTGGTTCAATATTAGGAAAACTACCAGCATAATTGACTATATTAATAACAAAACCAGTTCAAATCATATCATTATCTCAAAAGATACAGAAAAAGCTTTTGACAAAATACAGCATGCATTCCTATTAAAAACACAAGACAGCATAGAAATAAATTGAGGTTTCCTTAAAATGATAAGTAGCTTCTATCTAAAACCACCAACAAGCACTATCTATAATGTGGATAAGCTAGAAACTTTCCAAATAAGATCAGAGTAAAGCAATCGCCACTATTATTCGGAATTATACTATAAATGTTAGCTATAGCAATAAGAGAAGAAAAAGAAATTGAAGGAATTCGAATAGGCAATAAGGAAACAAAACTATCACTCTTTGCAGATGACATGATGAGATACTTAGAGAATCCTAGAGAATCAACTAAAAAACTAGTTTAAATAATTAACAACTTCAACAAAGTAGTAGGATATTTAAAAAAAAATCAAGGCACATAAACCATCAGCATTTCTATGTATTACCAACAAAGTCTAGCAGGAAGAGATAGAAAGAGAAATTCTATTTAAAATAACTGTAGACAGTATCAAATACTTGGGAGTCTAACCCACCAAGACAAACTCAGGAACTATATGAACACAATTATGAAACACTTTTCACACAAAGTCAGATTTAAACAATTGGGAAAATATCGATTGCTCATGGGTAGACTG